TATATATTTTAAATGCCCTCCGTCCCTTAAACTGGCACCTTATCACAATCGTACGAATATACTTTATAAAGTAATTTTTAATTTATTTTTATATGATATATTATTATTTTTGACTGTATTAAAATATTTGTGGCGTAATAAACACTAGTATTGTGTTTTATTCTAAAGACACATGGCAAATTTTCCATGTGTCTTTAGAATAAAACTCAATACTAGTGTTTATTACGCCACAAATATAAAACAGGACACGGTTTCAAAAAGAAAATATGTTAAAATAATTACAATTATAATGTAAGTTTTCAAAATTTATGCAATTTATTCAGAAAATATACAGGTGCTACAGAAATAAAATGTTATTTATAATAATTAATTTTAATATTTTTATTTATAATTTAATAATTCGTATATCTTTTTTGTATATTTTAATTTCTGTTTATGATAGCTTACATAAGTATAACTTTTTTTTAATTACGCTGTATCAAAAATCTACCCAAATGTTTTGCTAAAATGTAAATTGAATAAAAGTACGCTGATAAAGTTATATTCTTTTAAATAACTAGCCCAAAATATTGTTAAATTTTGAAAGAAATAGCACATTTGTAATAATATAATGGAGAGAGCTTAGAAAAATCTTTTATGATGATGAAGAGAAGAATGTTATTTTATTGTCCGTCATATATTAGGCATTTATAAAGCGTTACACGTTAGCAATTGCTTTCTATCTGATAATTGAGGTAAAGGAATATATTAGTCTGATATTATTACTTTCTTTATATTCTTTCTTTGAAGTTTAAAAGTGAAGAATGGAAAAGAATTCTTTTTCTTTTTCAATCTTTCAATTCGTAAATTTAACATATAGTTGTTCGTGGACGGCTCCTTTATTAATAAACCATAATTAATCTTAAATTAAAGATAGATGTTTTTATGAAATGTTTAAAGATTCCGTCAAGTTTTAAACTTTTGATGTAATTTTTAGTATTTTTAATATATAATTACAAGTTCTGTTTTTATGTACAATCGAAAATTATTGAGTATGATTTGTATTAAATATATCCTCGATTTTCTGTTCTTAGAAGCATTTTCTACTCAGTCTCTTTGTAGTGGTTTGTACGCTAGTGTGAATCCTGAACTCTATCGGAAACCATTTAATTACAGTATCCGTAATTGTATCGCAAGAAAATGTGAATTTCAGTACAGTATCGATAATTGTATCTCAATAACATTTAAATTTTGATATTGTATAGATGATTTTATCAGAACAAAAAAATTTATCACTTACAATCTTGCCTAAAGCCATTGTGCATCGAACGGCCATCATGTTTGTTTACATTTTACAGCCTTTATTTGTTAATGCATTGAAGCTTACTTTATTTTGTCGTCATTTTAGCACTTTCTCAGTTTTATTTTTAAATTTCGTGCATATTAGTTTACAGTTAAATTCAATCAAAACTCAAAGGGAAAAGTGTATTAGTGCTACCATTTAGTAAGTTACGACTATAACTCAGAATGCCAAGTACTTAAAATATATAGCACAATTAGCATTACTTTTAAAATTGTTAGAAATTGGCAACAGATATGCTATATGCAATGCCATACAACTATTCCTTTATGGAATCATTTAAATAAAAACATGCAAGTATTTACAAAACTGAGAAAGGTGAACCCCAGTCGAAATCTTCACATTCACGGCTAGTGCAGGAAAAATTTGACGTGCAAATGAAAGATGTTGATCTTGAATCTGCAGATGTTCCTCCTAGTCCAGATTCTTCTGTTGGTTCTGATGGACTTCTCTTGCAGATTCGTCCCGATAGTATTAGCTTACTTCAAGCAGTCAAACCTGGGCCTTTACGTGATTCTGGTAATGCTGATAGTGTTTACTTAGATAATTCGTATATTTTAGTTACACCTGTAATACTTTACCCCTCAAGTTCTCACACACAATTTGGACTTCCTCCATCAAAACGCAAAGCTGTTCAACATACTCTGAAGAGTTTTATGGATAAAACTCAAAATTTTAAGCCGGCCGATAAAAGGAGTTCAGCAATTACAGGATTGATTGAGAAAATAATCTGTCTTCATATCAGTAGTTAAAGATAAACGTTTTCGTAAATTTATTAAGCATCTAGAATCATGATACAGCCTACCATTCCTCCTTTAAAACACTATGAGACTAGCTATCCCTGATTTGTATGATAAAACGAAGTTGAAAAATGATTGTCAGAAATTGGATACGTTGCTCTTACGAAAGTCGTCTGGAGTTGTGCATGTGGACATCCACAACTCCAGACTACATAAGCTTGACAGCGCATTTTTACTTTCCCAGCTGTCATATACAGAGGGAAAGTATGACGTTTGGTCAAAAAATGACCCCCAAGACTTTTACATTTTTGAGCTCAGGACCCTTGAAACGTCGAGAAATACGAAAAATTACTTTTTTTTCTATATGTATGGATGTTAGAGAGTGTATGTGGGGTCGATTTTGTTCACCCTCTTTGAAGCTTAATAACTCCTGTACTTTTCGTCGAAAATTTCTGAAATTTTCCAGGCAGATTTTGTTGTTATTTATTCAAAAGATACAGTACTATTAAATTTTAGTGATTAAAGGGCGAAGGGGCGGGAAGATAAAAGGTGTCGTGTGTAACTTTAGTAGGGTCGGCTACTTAATGACGATTTTACTCCTAATTAGCATTTAGAATTTTTTTTATAAAACTTATCCCTACCCTCAAAATTAAGTATTTGCCATTTTATAATAGTTAAAAATATAGAAAGTTTTTAAAATAAAATACAATAACAGATGACGCCACCAAATGTTGACGGGAAAAGTCAGCAACTCGTTGCTGGATTTTTTTTATTCAAATTACATTTATCATTATAAATATTTGAAGTGTGTGCCATATTTAGAGCTTTCTCACTCACGTAAAAATATTACAGATTTTATCACGCAAACTGTTAAAGATGGGGGCATTTCTGACAAAATTGTATTTTCAGAAACAATGCACGAAATATTGTTTTTGTGCTTGATGGGAGTACATTCGAACACATTTCCTTATTAGCTCACTCTCTTTAACTAGTGATAAAGATGGATTTCTTAACAACAGATGATGAAGGATTTTGCAAAAAAAATGTCTTGTATCGTGGGTCACTTTAAACAACAACGAAACTAAAAATAGCCCAGGTCTGGTCAAATGTTTAACATAATCGCGTCCAAGATGAACACATCAGATGGAACTCACTACTATATGTGATGAGGTGTTTTCTGGAACAGAAGCAAACAGTACTTAACTTTAGCTGCCACTAACCTTACCATCAATGTACATTTAACATCACTATAATGGAATGTCATGAAGCAATTGATAAATATTCTTGACGCGTTTGACAGATCAACATTTGTTGCTAGTTGAAACGCAGTAATGATTTATGAATTCATTCCTCTTGTTAACAGCATCATTAATGTCCTAGAAACAACAAAGTTTCCACGCAGTAACATACAAAATGTCATCAATGATTTGCGCTTTTTTTCATCAAAAAACGGTGCCAATTTTTGGAAGAAGTAAAATTGTACACATTTGTCACAATGCTTGATCCAAAATTCAAAATGTTCTATGATGCATAGAATGTTGAAACAACAAAAAATCAAATAGTTTTAGAGATGATTGCTTTACCAGAAAAAATTTAACTTAACACAAACAGAAAGCTAAAGAAAAGAAGCACAAATTAAACAAGCTGATGTAAGGCATCAAAACAATATGGTGATTTTATTCCAAATTAGTGGTGTCAACAGCAGGTTCTAGAATAAAAAGTCAGGATACTTCAGAAGAAATTCGGAGTTAACTAGAAGAAAGTTTGCTTCTATCAAGTGAAAATATTTTCTATTACTGGAAAAAGAACAATCTGTATCCTCGATTGAAGGAATTATCTTCTGAAGTATTTAATCACATCGGCGTCAACAGTTGTTTCAGAGAGATTCTTCAGCACTTCTGCTTTAATTTGCGACAAAAGAAATAAGAAGAATAGATTCTAAATGTGTTCGAATACTTGTTTTTTAAATAAAAATATGCAATAAATGAGAATTTAGTAAATTGTTTTTTCTTTTTGCCTTTTATTTTACTTTGTTAATAGAAGAGCAACGATTCATTTTAAGTTTTTAATTCCATTATTTTTCTTGCGTTAATTATTGCATGGTACTGTACATATTAAAATACAGTTAGACGTATTATACAGTAAAAAATACTAACGGAACAATTATAAAATATATTGTTCTTGTTTATGGAGGTTGGGTGTGGACTCCGACTGTCTTTCACTCCCATCTACGTGATTGAGGTCAGGAGTACAACTACTGAGATAGAAGAGCAGAGAGAGGCGTGAGGGATAAAAAAAAAATGTAACACTGGGGGTGGAGTAGTGAGCTGGGATGGAGAAAGGGAGCAGATAGAAATGAGTTAGAAATATAAAATATATTAAGAGTAAATGAGATAGCTTTATTTTAAATGTAGACGGTAGAACTATTATAATGATTTAATTTAAAATTTTTATGTAGTTAGTTGAGTGAAAATTTCTTTTTATTATACGTTTTTATAAATAAATAATACAAATCAATATTTCCATCTGTGACATTTATTGAAAGAAGTAACTAAGTAGTCTTAAATAGAATCGACGTTTAAAAATAGTAAACAAGATCGAAACAAAAGCCAATTCCTTATTAATTAATAAACTGGAATGATGTCTTCGTTAATATTTTATCCGTATAATCGATTAATCTATTCGGAAAAGTGCTGCATATCAACCAAAAACTATATCTTTGCTACCAATTATTATCTTAGACACAGTCTAGACGTTCGGGTCAAATTGTCTATAATAAGATAGATATTATATGATAAATTGAAAAATAAATATTTTCATTTTATATGATTAGTTATATACAGTTAATCTAATATTTTATGCTTTTCTAAACTCAATATAACACCGAATTACGGGAAATCATCGATTAGAAACAGAAAAATATAAATTTACTTCCTTACGACTGTTAGTGTGACGTCATAGTAACGGGATGTTAGTGTTATTGGCACAGAGTATGCGCGAATGTTAATTCTTTATTCTAAAATTATCTAGAAAAAAATGTTCTTGACCAATCGGTTAGCTCTTAATAAACGGAAATCCGGTAGATCACGTTTCCGGAAGTGTTTAAGAACACGTGCCGACAGGTGTTTTCTCGACAACTTCTGTCCTCGTTACTTGATTTTTAATTGTTCATTCCTCGTAAGTATACAAGTTTATTCTCTACGATATCACTTAAGATCTTTCAGTTTTTCGATAGATATATGTGTATTAATTATATTCAAGATGATAAGGAAAAATACCATCTACAAAAATATAATTATGAACCTGTATTTTAGCTTTATAATGGACGAAATGGAACTATTGTGTTGATAGGACAATACACACGACCTGTTTATTTCGTGTAAATTCCAAGATAATTGGAGTAGCGGTATAATAGCGATGATTGTCTCTATGGTAACTTCACAACAAAGAGGATACAAAATTTATAAAAATATAGGCTATATTCATTTCGATCATAATATACAAAACAAAATTAGGAGCATGATATAAACGTTTTCTCCATTACTATATACTGTAAACTTATAATTCCTACATTTACATTTGAAGAATATATTGCTGTTACTATTATAAATAATATAATAAAAATATTAATAATATAATAAAACTATATATTCTGTTACAGAAACAGAATATATATTTTTATTATATTATTATAAAGTGTAATTTACTAAGTTATAAGTGGCTTAACAAACCTTATAATAATGATGATGATATTTGAGTAAAATTGCATTAAAAATATTAACTGACATTAAGTGTTAACCATAGTTAATGGTCAGTATGATGAAAGTATTAGAATTAGTTTACTTTGAACAACTTTGGTTTGATCTCAGACACTTTTTGGGGTGCATTCTTTTAGAGTAAATATTTTTTTTTGCTTTATGATTAAATTTTGATAATTTATTACAATTATTTACAAAATGATTCATTTCTAAAAGGAGATGTATTGATATTATAATTACTGTATTAAAACACTTTGTCAACATCTCATTTAGGAATAAAAAGATTTATCATTATACAAGTTTATGGAATTTTTAAATTATAGACACAAGCAAGAGTAGTATCATTAACAAATTTGTGAGCACATTGTTTGTTATGAAAATAAGGTAAAGAAAGAAATAAACACTATATTCAAAATACACAGTTGACATTAATTACTTTCTCTTTTCTATTACTGAATAATTACTTATTTCCAAGCTATTTCTAAATAAGTACTTATATCTTTTCTTTTCACAGAAACTCATAAAATAAAATAATTATGAACACTTCATAATTCTTGAATTATAGGTTGAATAGCTTCATAAGTTTTTGTTGTAATGTTCAAAATTCTTATTGTTAAAGTAAACATAATGGAAATTTGAGAAAATTAGATAATTCATTAAAATTAGATAAAATTAACTTTTATTTTTGTTATTTATAACTAAAAATAAAAAGTATTTAATAAAAAAAATTTGAAAAATTCATGCAGATGTATCATTTAAATTTAAATATTCACAACAACTCTCAGCATTAATAAAAATTGAGTGCACTAAGTCTAGAGTTGTCAGATTTTTAAGACTGGATTAAAAGACATTTAAAAATGATTAATTAATGCCATTGGTCCCCAACTTTCATTCCACCTCAAAAAAGTAAAATTGAATGCTTTTTTAGTTAATAATTAAACATTCTGTTGATTTTTTAAATTCTGATTTAAAAATTATAGTTTTCATATTGACTATAAATATTTGTAAAGTTTAGTTTAATTTAGAATTTAAAATATTTAATGGTAAACTATATTTTTCTATGGAGACTATATTAGAATAAGCATACATCTGTACAGAAATGTGTCACTGTCATTACAATATATGAGTATTGAAAAATGAAAATAAAGAACAAATTGCATCCTTTCTCATTTCAATAAAGGACAAGGATAGCTTAGCTAAAATAAAGGATTGTCCTTTGAAATAAATACTAGCTGTGCCTTATCTAGACCATTACAAGATAGTGTTTTAGTATACTTAGGTACTTAGATCAAGTGATTAGAGACAGTGGGATAAGGGCTGTAGTAAATGCAGCCCAGCCTGCAAACTATATTGTAGTGATTCTATATACTTCTGGTACAATTTCTAATATTTCAAATGCTGAGATTTTGATAACCATATTTACCTACTTTTTAAAAGCTATGTACCAGTATGTAGCTATTTTAATTTTAGCCTCAGCCCTCCCATAAGAAACTTTTCCAGGTTCTGTTGCTTAATAGCAATGTATCAGCTTTTGATTTTATAAAAAAATATTATTTTATTTGGTTTTAATCACTATTTTTAATGTTATACCAAGTAATCAATAATTTTTTAAAGAATTCCAAAATTTAGTTATTATGAAACTAAATGCAAATTCTAGCTTATCATTTGTTTTATTTAATACTGTAATAATTTTTTTATTTTATCCTTACAAATTACTGATAAATTTATAAAGTTTCTTAGTCAATTCAAACAAACTAGTTGTTTTTTTTAACATTATATTTGATTATCTTCAACATTTAGTATCCTTTTATATCTTGCTGAAAATCTATTTTTATAGGTTCTATTTTACATAACTCATTAGTCATTCTGAATATTCTAAAATTTTAGCATGTTTCTTTTTATTCATTACACTATCAGTTAGATTCATTTATCTAATTCTAATATGAAATAGCTGCAAAGTATTTTTATAAAGGCATCTGACTAGGTTATATGAACTATTGTATAAGATTTTTTATCATTTCCTTTGAACTCAAAAGTATATTTTGTCCAAGAACAAAATCTTTCTTTTGTTCAAGTGTTCCACTAATGTATTTTTTTTGTATAAAGAAATGTCTTTTTCATAACATTTGGTTAGAACTACTATTATGACATTTGAGTTTTTCCTACATTATAAGTTTGTAACAATTTTTTCTGAATTATGAACTCATAAATAATAATTCCAATGTGGTCTCAGTTTCTATTGGCAAGCACCAAATCCGACAGAGGGCACTCAAGATGGCTGTTGAAACAGGTAAGGCTTGTTGTTTGTTTAGTGCCTGAGCTGATTCAGTTTCCATTGGTGATGACTACTGCGATGACCAAATGGAGAATGATCATTTCAATACTGATCTATTTATCGATGAAATCCAAAAGAGACCAGCCATCGTCAAATGATTTTATAGACATTTTAAAATAATTAAAAAACTTGGGTTCATATTGTCTTAGTTTTGGATACAACATCACGAATATTCCATGCGTCAGTCTATCTCATAATATTGGGTGCACCCAAAATTCTCTTTGCCTCTGCCATCGCCTTTTGTAGCGACGATGGAGGAGGCACACACAAGCAATTACTTTCATGTCCATTTCCAAACTGAGCCAGTGCGAACGGTGGTCGAATACCAAGCTAAATGCGCAGTGTGTATGCTGCTAACGTGCGTTTAACGCAACGCCGAATGCGTACTAGCCCTAAAGCAACAACATGAACTTCAGTGTTGTTGTTAGAGTTTAAGCCACAAAATATGGTGTGTCCAGCATCCAAAACAGCTTCACCTTCTACAAGACAACATTTCCTGTCGCCAATATAGTCTAGAATTTGACATAAATTCAATAATTTGTTCTCCATTTGGTCATTGCAGTAGTCATCACCGATGGAAACTGAATCGGCTCAGGCACTGAACAAACACATTGTCAGTCCCTTGCCTGTTTCGGCAGCCATCTTGAGCGCCGTCTGTTGGATTTGGCACTTGCCAATGAAGTCTTTGTTATTTGATCAAGATTAGTTTATTGAGGATTTTGTTTACTTTTTTACACTAATCAAAAAATATCTCTGACAGATATTTCCTCTTTCATTTGATGTTATTTCTGTACCAAAACTGGCTCTATATTGCTTTATAAGTTTCCTTATTGTCACATTATAGTAAATTCTATAAATTTACTTTTTAAACTTATATTTTATAAATTATTACTTTATATTATATGTAAAATTCAATATTCTTGATTTATGATGTAAATATGAAATGAATAAAACTTACAAAGTCCAAACTCCAATTCTATTGTATTCATATTGTGACAGTTATATTCTTTACTGGAGACCACCTCCAGTAAAGCAGTTATGAATGATATAAATATTTTGTTGTCATAAACTTTATTGTGTAATATTGAAATATAAGTTAAAAATTTTTAAATGTCTAAGCATTTTGTTAATGTATTAAGTAATGTATAAAACAATGTGTTTTATTACAATAAGATATATTTTTATTTTTAATATTAATAAAATTATTTTTAATTTTCAGTAATATTCAATAAAGGAAATTTAGTTTCTACCATGACCAGTAAAACTGATAATAAAATTCTTTTAAGAGCTGCTACTTATCTTTCTCCTAGTATTCCAGTAGAATACTATGAAATGATTTTACATTATTTGGAAGAAAAGTTGGGAATATATACTACATTATTATATGAATCTCGTTGGGAGGGACCTCATCCTGATCGACCTAATCCATTTGCTAATAATGAAATTGATTTAGGTAGGTTTTTCAAAATTACTTGAATTACTTTAATATAGATTATGTTAATTAATTTCCAAGAAAATGCCAAAAGAAATAACAAAAAAAATTTATCAATATTACTACTATATTATATTATATTTTATGGCTTATAAGACATACCTCCATTTCAGCATAAAATATTTAATATATTTAAGCCATCCCTTGTCTTTCGCACTTGGTATCAAATTTTTTAAAACTGTATTCTGGTTAAAAAAAGTCATTTACCATTAAAATATTTTACATGATTACATGCAAAAGTTGCTTAGCTATAGCAAAAAAAAACAAATAATGTTCATTAAGCATATTTTTATTAACATTTTTATTCAAAAGTTGGGCTAGGTAGACATTACCTGTAACCTACTGAAGACCATTTGGGAAATTCATTAGCATAAGAAAAATTGCAACTTCATATATAAACATGGAAATTTTTTGGTATATTTTTTTTTTCTGAACAAAAGTTGTGTCTTATGTCAAATATGGTATATCTGGTAACATTGATAAATATTTGATAACAGTAAAATGAATGTTTTAAATTGATTAAATACAGATTAAATTTAGAACAGTTCAAACTTATTCAAAAAATGAAAGTGTTTTTGTAAATCACTGTAAGTTTCCATAAACTATATTCTGTAACTGAGAATTTTAGATCAATATCTATGTGTAAAATTTTTTAGTTAAAGAATAGTTTCTGGAGACAATGGAATATTACAAGAATTAATTTAATATTATTTGTTTTGAGAGATGTAGAATCGCTTTTATAATTTCAAAATTTCTGTAAACGTATTAAAGATAATTGGCATAGAAAACATTGTTTAATTAAAATGTAAAAATCATGTTTTAAATCAGGTCTTTGATCTAATGAAACATTTTTTATATTGAAAGATCTGTTATTTTCTAAATTATTTAATTCATTTAATTTCTAGTTATTAATCTTAATACAAAATAGTAGCATAATTGCTTACCTTCAGTTTACATTCATTAGCTTCAGTCTTCTTATTATAGTCCAAAAATAGGCTGTTAGATTAGCTTAAGTTGATGATAGCATTTTCAAGCTTTGGTTGTATACTATTATTTCAAATTTGTTATTAAATTAGTGTAATTTACATTTTCATGTGATCTAATAAAAAACATGTCAAAACTCTCTTAAATTTTTTCTAATGAATTGAGAGACTTCTGAATTGAAAGTTTTCAAAACTTGCTGGAAATAACTGATAGTGTTTCAGAATCAATGCATAAGATTATAATGAGTGAGATAAATAGATTTATAAGTATGATTCAGAAAATAGATGATAACAATAAATAACTCAAAAAGAAATAGAATGTGAAAATAAACACTAAAACTTTGCTAATGATGTTTTCCTTTATTAAAGGTTACTACTAATTTTTCTTAATAGTTAGATAATAAAGTAATTTAATTTGGAATTATAAAACGATTAAGATTATGTATTGTATAAAACTAGAAAAATAACTCTGAAAAGGTTAAATCAATGATTTTATCTACTCTCCATCTATTTTATTTTCCATTTTTGCATATGTTACTGCTAAAGCTCGAAATCCGTTAATGTGCGCATTACCTAGCTAATCTGCAGATTAACTAGGGTGATCTGTTAAAGCTGCGAAAATTATTCCATTTCTCAAATTACCTAGGTAATGTTCAGATTATCTAGGTAATCTGCAAATTACCTACTAGGCACTCGGTAAAGTGAAAATAAGATTTTTGCTGGAACAACAGCAACGTTTCTGTACGCTTAAATTAACATAATGTTATTTATTTAATTTTCAATATCTAAAGAATCAAGTTAATA